AGTTCTGAGCCGGTTGTTCAACGCACTAAGGAAACAGCAGCCAGCCCGAAAGCCAACTACCTTTCTCTCCGGCACAACAAGAGCAGCCCGACCGCCAGGCCGCATCCGGTCCCCGAAAGGTCCAGACGCAGCCCAACGTAGGCCGCCACAAGCCAGCGCTCACGTCTCGGTCGAAAAGGGTAGAGGGGCTGCTAAGAAGGTTGCAAGATGAAAGGACCAATCCAGTCGACTCCAGACGAGCTGCTGCTCGCCTGACTTTGTGCGTACTAAGTGCTATTGCCCAAATTTTGCTTCTAACTGTTGGTGGTGAGTAGTATATTACTGGAGGAAACTCTAGCGTCTTTTGATTATCAGCAGGATGACGGAGCATTTAGTGGGGCCACGTTTTGTGCGGTAACGATAGGGGACGAAAGCACGTCATTTCTAACAGCATTTCGTCAGATTGATCCTCACGGCTCGACAGGTGCGAGCTGCAACCCCATTTTACCTGCCATAGCGATATCTAGCTAACACGTAGCCAGGTCAAATCCACGTCAAGCCAGAACATGCTGGTAGCCACAGGAATTGGCAGCTGGAATATCTGGATGTTCCAGATAATATCACTGACTTCGACGTGCTACTATTCTCGACCTCGGCAAACGGCGGCGCGGAATGCAAGGCGATTGAGGTGAGTATAAGTCAGCTCATACGTACTCCATTTATTACCACTATCGTATTGGCTTATTGGCTTTATGTAGGCTCTGCAGAGAATTGGCGTACTGGAATCCAGGATCTCTCTGGTGATGGTAGTCTGCTCCTCGCATGGTTACGAGAAGATTTCCACTCGATATCCGCGTGCGTTTATAGCACACAGTGGAAGACTGAAGCATCCAATTAATAACTCGTTCCTTGCCGTCTGCACCATCGACAGGCATCAAGATCCTTGCTGCGGCAATTGGCGATCAATCGACTTTACAACGAGATCAACTCCCGCGAAATTTGGTGCCAACCCCCCGTGCACTTGTCTCGAATGAATCCAGTTTCAGCTAGATGGTACTCGGATACACTTGTACATAGGAAAACTATTTGAGATTAAAAAAACAGCGTCAGGGTGCTATGGATAAGGTAATGAATGACCCTAATGGACATTCATAACCTATGAATCATAGGTAGTACTACTGTAGCGATCGTTCGGTATTATGCAGCTAATTTAGCGTAAACTCAGGGGTATTACCAGGAAAAAAAGATCTGACTCCATTAAGCGAGGATAATAATAGCATCCTTGACAACCTTAAATTATAAGCTTGTCCAAGTATGAGGGAAACTGCCAGTGCACGGATAGTAAGACGTTTATATGTTCTGCGACTATAACAAAGGAAAATGTCGCTTTATTCCCGAAGTACCAATCAAGTTGTTGCGCAGAATTGAAGCCACGGCAGAGAGGACTGCCCGTCAGGTGGATATTATCAATGTCACAAAACCAAAATACCAGAGGAATTACACTCTGCAAAATGTTGGCATAAACAACTGACTAGCAGAATTCATTACCGTATTCCTTATGTGATTGACGACAATCATATTCTAGAAGGTGGCTCAGCTTTTTGCCAGCATAAATCATACATGCATAGACAAAAATAAGTAAGAATCTATTGCACATAAAGCGCGACGACACAAAATTTAACTTAATTTGATTGGCTGTTGGATTTGTCGCTAATGACCGAGCGTCGCCAATCACATAAGGAATACGGTAAATAAAATCTTAAGGTATAAGATAGCAACAAGAGCCTAATCATCAGGTAATCGGACAGTACTGTACCGGTAAAAATTAAATAGGCGAGGAGAACTAGGCAGAAGAGTGTATAAAAGCCGGGCTTGCTGGTCGTTCAAGCGAACATGAAGGGATATTTGAAGCCATGGAGAGTCTTGATTGACTCGGAGCCTCGAGTAGCTATGCTTGTCGCCCCACCCCGGAAGGGAGTCAGTAGTATGCTGATGCACTAGAAGTGCTAAGAAAGATACAATCTCTGTCCGTCTCGCGACGGGGACACAAGTTACTGTGTCGCATGTCGCTGTGGGGCTTGGTGTGAAGTTGAAAACTTCGATAGCGTGGAAGGCTGTTAGTGAACTGGAGGTATGACCTCGTCCTTGAGATGGCAGCGCCGTGCTCATGGATCCACAGAAAGTTTAAGATGCTAGGCGGTACGCATCCAGCTTCTAGTAGAGCTTTAGTTAGTCATGAACACACCTCTGCTTGGAAGAAGAAGCACATTTTGCGCGAGCACGAGGCCGATGCGGTTGTGGTGCGAGACATTGGTATACTAGACCTTGTTAACAACGAGGTTGCCGTTTGGCCGAATCTACGTTTGGCGGCACGCGAAGTAGTAAAGGTCAGGTCGGCGGTCAACCGCTGAATCCTGGTGAGAGTGAGCGTGGGGGAGCGCGTAATCCACTAAGTAATACAGATTTGGTAGCTGGCCTACAGGACAGAGACGCCGCACCGCCCTCATCCGGCTGAGCACGGTCGCATGGGGGGAGGGGAAGAAGCCGAAGGACGTCTGTGATGGCTTCGACATTGGACGAGTTGTCCAGCGAGACGATCGGTGCGGCTCAGCGTGGATACTGCGAGCAGCTGTACATTTTCGTGAATAGATTGACGAGGAAGGA